GTGTAAAACTAGTACATCATACCCCATGATTACAGTAATGTACATAGCTATGATTTAACAAAAAAAAAAAAAAGAAAGAAAAAAGAAAGAAAGAAAGAAAAATTAAAAAAAAAAGAAACGGGACTTAATTAAGCTGAAAAGTTTCTGCACAGCTAAGGACACAACAAGTAAAGCAAAAGACAACCTTCAGAATGGGAAAAGATACTTGCAGGGTATCAATCTGACAAAGGGCTGATAACTAGATTCTACAGAGAACTGAAATTAACCAACAGAAAGAGAATAAACAATCCTATCTACCTTTGGGCAAGAGATATGAACAAAACCATCTCTGACAAAGATAGACAAATGGCTAAGAAACATTTGAATAAATGCTCATTGTCCCTGATCATCAGAAAAATGCAAATCAAAACCACCCTGGGATATCACCTCACCTAAGTGAGAATAGCCCACATCGCAAAGTTTCAAAGCTGCAGTTGATGGCATGAATGTGGAGAGAACACATTTACATTACTGGTGAGACTTCAAACTAATGCAACTTTTTTGGAAGGAAATATAGAGAATTCTCAAAGAACTAAAATTAGACCTCCCATTTAATCCTAAAATCCCTTACTAGGCATCTACCCAGAATAAAAAAAAAAATCCTTTTATTATAAGTACATTGCAGTAAACTGTTTATTGCAACTAAATTTAGAATCACAGAAACATGGAAACAACCTAAATGCTCACCAACCCAGGAATGGATTGACAAGCTGTGGTATATGTACACCATGGAATACTATTCAGCCACTAAAAAAGATGGAGACTTTACATCTTTTGTATTAACCTGGATGGAGGTAGAACATATTCTTCTTAGTAAAGCATCACAAAAATGGAGAAGCAAGAATAAAATGTGCTCAATTCTGATGTGAATGCAGGTGGGGGGTAGGGGAATGATGGACTGGGTAGAAGGGAGGAGAGAAGGGCATGAGGGGTCACAGTGTATGGCACACCTCTTTGATGCAGGACACAACTACAAGAGGAAGTTTACCTAACAACTGCAATCAGTGTAACATAATCTTTATGCCCTCAAATGAATCCTAAAAAATTAAAAATTAAAAATAAAAAAACTTCTCTAGAGTTAGTTAGACACATGATTTAAGCCGAGTTGTTGTCACAACAGCCTTATTTGGGGGCCACTTTTGAATTTCTCAAGTACATGGGAACTAATGGGTAAGGTTAACACCAAGCACCAATTCTGGTGCTCGGAGTGTCAAATACTTGGCAGGAGACCTGTATCAGTACGCAGAGCAGAATACATACATCATGACACAGTAAAGATTACTTACTAGGCCATCTGCATTTTATACTACATCTAATCTAATTAGTAGACTATTTTATACTACATCTAATCTATGTAAACTTAAACCCTTGGAACAAATACAGAAGCTCCATGTGGATCAATATCATTCATCTTTTAAGCAAAAGTAAAGAACACCGGCCGCAAATGGTGAGGAATACACAGTTTCTCTTTCTTCATGACAGAGAGACCGATTATCTTTAATAATGTTCACTTGTACTTGAATTATTATAAGACAATTAAGGAGGAGCAACATGATCTGATTATCTCCTCAAATATAAAAGTCAAAGGCATACAAAAATATGAAACCCTATTAGTGAAAATTCTGCCTAAAAATATTTATAATATTTTATATAACACAGCAAAATCTACTCTTCTGGTTTTTATTGATAGCAGAATAAAAAAAAAAGATTGTAAATATAACTTTTGTTACCTAAGTTCTAGTAATATATACTTCGCAAAAGAACCAGTAATACAAAATGCAGTCAGTAAAATAACGTTGACACAAAGCAGTCTACTAAACTAATAATCATTACATCAATTTAAGGTAAATAATCTTTCCTTAAGCTCTTATTTTAACTCTTATCTCCTCATACATTAAATGCAAATATTCAATGATTAATGCTAGAAGAAAAAGCCATATTGATGAAGTGTGGCAAGAAAGTCATGAAGTGATTTTATGTTGGCTCAAGGAATGTTTAGCGACTTAAAAACCAAAACAAATATATGTCATACATTTAGTACATTATGGGATTATGGGAAATGTTAAATACTGGCCAACAAAATAACTGACATAACTGTAATCAGACTATACCAACATATGGGTGCATCCCCTCAGGTTATGAGATAGGTTCAAGACAGGGGAAGTTATGGGTGAGATAAGCACTGCTCTATTTGGTCTTTCTTATCCCTAACCTACAAAGAAATGGCATGGTTCCAGGATTCAAAATGGGCAATTAGGTACTGTACAATTTCTTATACTAAGGTCAAACCAAGCTTCTTTCTAAGATTCTAAGTGTGAACTTTCCTGCTCTGCCATTTCAAACTTCACATCCAGGACTGTTGTAGATATCACTGGAGAAATAAAGTTAAAAACACTAACAGTCCCTATTTAATAAATGGTGCTGGAAGAACTAGTTAGCCACATGTAGAAGACTGAAATTGGACCTGCACCTGTTACCACTCACAAAAATTAAGTCTCGCTGGAAAAAAGATTTAAATTTAGTACACGAAACAATAAAAATCCTAGAACGAAGTACTGGAAAAGCTCTTAACAATACTGGCCTGGGAAAAGATTTTATAAAGAAGTCCCCCTTGGCAAATGCAGCAACACTAAATAAATGAATGTGATATGATCAAGCTAAAAAGCTTCTATACAGGTAAGGGTATAACAACTAAAGCATACAACCTTCAGAATGGGAGAAGATCTCTGCATGCTATGAATCTGACAAAGAACTGATAACCAGCATCTACAGAGAACTCAAATTAATCAACAAGAAAAGCGCAAACAACAACATTTATAAGTGGGCAAGAGACCCAAATGAACCTTTTCTGAAGGCAAATGTCCAATAAACAATTTTTTCAGAAAACACATTTTTCAGAATGTGTTTCTGAAAAATGCTCATTATCCCTAAACATCAGAGAAATGCAAATCAAAACCACCCTGAGATATCACGTAACCTCAGTGAGAATATTCCATATCAAAAAGTGAGAATAGCCCGTATCAAAAAGTCACAAATCTGCAGATGCTGGCATGGATATGGAGAGAAGGGAACACTTTTATACTTGCGGGACTGCAAACTAATACAGCCTCTATGGGAACAAGTATAGAGAATCCTTATTGAGCTCAAAGTAGTCCTGCAATCCCATTAACAGGTATCTACCCAGGAGGGAAAAAAATCATTTTACCATCAGGACATTGCATTACATGTTCACTGCAGCTCAATTCATGATTCCATGTCACCAAGAGATTCAATCAACCCATCAATTCATGAATGGATTAATAAACTGTGGTATGTAGATGTACTAGAGTACTATTCAGCCATAAAAAAATGGAAACTTTACATCTTTTGTATTAAACTGGATGGAGTCGAAGCACATTATTCTCAGTAAAGTATCACAAGAATGGAAAAGCAAGTTATCAAATGTACTCAATACTAACATGAAATCTATAGATAAATAACCACAAGCCCACAGCAGAGGAAAACACAATTAAATTCAAGTAGAAGGGGAGATGAGGAAAAAGGGTGAGATGAGGAGGGAGAGGGGTGGGTAAGCTCTCACCTAATGGGCACAATATTAGGGTACACAGCACACCCCCTGGATGAAGGGCTCAACTATAACTTGAATTTTACCTGACAAACACAAACAATGTAACCTACTCATTTGTGCTGTCATATTAATCTAAAATAATTTTTAAAAATAACAGTGATGTGATTCAGAACAAGGTCAAAAAAAAAGACTCACTGCAATTTCTAAGTGCTATATAAACCATCTTCAATCCCCACATTTCAGTGCTTTTGGCTACAAAATAGTTTTAAATGAGAGCTGGGAAACTACTTCTTTGGTGAATAAAAAAAAAATCTTTTTTTTAAGTAAAAAAAGATAATCTAGGCCACACCTGTAATACTAGCACTCTGGCAGCAGATGTAGGTGGACTGCTAGAGCTCAGAAGTTCAAGACCAGCCTGAGGAAGAGTGAGACCCCATCTCTACTAAAAACAGAAAGATTAGCCAGGCATTGTAGCAGGTGCCTGCAGTCTCAGCTACTCGAGAGATGGAGGCTGAGGCAAGAGAATCACTTGAGCTCAAAAGTTTGAGGTTGCTCTGGTCTATAATGATGCCATGGCACTCTACCCAGGGTGAGAGTGTGAGACTGTGTTCCCCTACCCCCCCCAAAAAAAAAGATAATCTGAGTTTGGAAACAGTGATATTCATTCACATAGAAACATGAAAGTGAGGAAGACTAGACTTGACACATATCATGATCGTGATCAGGATCATGCAAAGTGAGTATGATTAGGGGGAAGTAGGGGAGATGCTGGTCAAAGGATGCTTCAGTTAAGAGAAATATGTTCAAGATCTCTATTGCACAAAATGATGACTATAGTTAATATATTGTATTATTGAGAAAATGTTAAGAGTAGATTTTAAACTTTCTCAGCACCAAATGAAGTGGTAACTGTATGAGATAATGATGTGTTAATTAGCTAGATTTAGCCATTCTACCATGCATATATATTTCAAAACATCATGCTATACACAATAAATACAGGGTGGCCATAAAGTTCATGTGCAATTTACAAACAACTATTTTATATTTGCCACCCTGTATATAATATATGTTTACCTGTCACTTAAAAAATTATAACTAAAAATAATGTAAAATAAATACCTAAGTAAAAAAAAATACATTTTATGCAAAAAATAGGCAAATAAAAATAAAAACATGAAACAATCAGAATTTCAACATTGTTATAATCTTAAAGAGACCATATTTACACTCAAGAACTATTCAAAACTAGCCAATCTGGTGAGTGATTGATGTTAAATAAATGTGAAAACTTTTATATGTCAAACAGAAGTATATACTGGAAAAATGTGCTGATTAATTAATTGAAATTCCTGAATTTATCAAGCCAAACTGGGATCCAAATGCTACTTACTTTATGTCAGGCCCAATGAGTGAATGTCTTCTCAACATTGCTCGCGCCTGGGCATTGGTTAAACTGATGGTAGATTCTTCATTAATGGACAAAATGCAGTCCCCAACGGCAATCCGGCCATCTCGACTAATAGCACCACCGTGAATAATGCTTCGAACAATCATCCCCAAGCTATCTTTATTAGCACTAACTGTCATCCCTATGAGAAAAGAGGAATGCAAATACATATCACAGACAGAATTTTCAAATTTATCTTAATTTTAATTCAATAGTTCCTGTGGATTTATAGAGGAAAGGATAGGAAAAGCATTTTTAGTCAAGAAAAGACAGAAAAGAAAGGAAAAAGTATTTCTAACAAAAATGTTTTAAGTCAATTTAAAAATGTTTGTGAAATTGTATATAGATAAAAATACTCCCTGTTGAATATATTAGAGATGAAACAGTTCTACACTGTGGAATGAATGCATTTCCACCATTTAATGTGTTGCCCCCTTTCTGTACCAGTATCAAATTAATTTTATAAAGCAGTTAATCTTTTATATATGTAAAATAAAAACAGCACTATAAATGGAATATCAATTCTTAAGTACCAGATGTATTGTGTATGTGACAACTGGAGAAAAACTGAGGTCTGCGTCTTGACTCTACTTCTCAAGGGCTGAGAACTTTCAAAGAAATTCCTGATTCCATCTATGCCTCTGTATGTAATCAGTGAAGATAATCTCTTTCTTCTTCTTCCTCCCTCCTTCTTTTCTTTCTCTTTCTGTTTCTTTCTTTTTCTCTTTATTTCTTTCTTTCCTCTTTTTTCTTTTCACTCTCCCTCTCTGTCCTTCTCTTCCTTCCTTCCTTCTTTCCTTCCTCCCTCCCTCTATTCTTCCTTGCTTCAAGACCTAACACAACATAATTAGCCAATGGCCACAGACTTATCAAAAATCAAGATACCAAGATTAGATATTGTGAAAGGTCACTCTGCATGTGGACATATGCATGCATATCTGTATATAACGTTACCACCATAAATTGAGTAAAATTAAAAGAAATACCAATCAGATGATTTATGATGAAAATGAATATATGATGACAGCTTTGACAGAAACTTGTCATTTCCTAATAATTTCTTTTGGTAATCACCACAGAAAGAAACGTATTATCTAAAAAGCTAAAACTACAAACCAGGTTATAGAGCTGATTGAGGGGAGAGTACACATCCTGGAAAATGAGCTCACTGACAGACTTACTTCTCTACAAGTGCAAAGTCAGCCTCTGTTTAGATTTCCTAAAATACTATGTATCACACGTTTTCTCACTTCAGTTGTAAAGGCAACATCTTCCTACTTTAAAACTTAACCAAATGCTTTAACTGAATTAATTTAATGTTTTACAAGATTTTTCATGATTCCTTTCCATTTAATTATTCTAAGTGCTATAGTAATCAGAAAATTGAATATTTCCTGTCGAATGACGTAACAGAGAAACATCCTCACGTTGCCATGCTGTAAATCTGAACTCCAAAATGCTAGAAGAACCTTACTGGGTCTCAGAAAATCAAATAGCCAGGGCCAAAGCCCTATAAATATTTTGGGTGTATAAATTAATTCAAATAATGAAGATGAAGCAGGAAAGTAAAACTAACAGTAACTTATAATTTGATATTACAATTTTAGTGATAAACTAATGGTGCTATGATTTCGCACATATAAATGTTTTCCTCTCACTAAACAAATGAAAGGGCTATTTCGTACTTTAATTTTAAAATAAAGTTGTTGAGGTTTAAATGAATTTCTACATATGATAACAAGGAAGGGCATGCCTACCTTTCACTGCTTTTTCTAAAAGTTTAATTACTATACTACATGTTTAATATCAAGTTTAAAGGCTAGGGTGAAAGCAACCCAAGTGTCTGTCAAAAGGTGAAAAGATAAACAAAATGTCATAATATACACATAAAATGGAATGTTATTCAACCTTAAAAAGGAAGGAAATTCTGACACACTCTACAATATGAATAAAGCTTGAAGACATCATGCTAACTCAAATAAGCCAGTCACAAAAGACAGATACCGTACGATTCCACTTTACATCAAGGACCTAGATTAGTCACATTCATAGAAACAGAAAACAGAATGGTGGTGGTCAGGGGCAAGCTGGTGTATGTAAGAACAGGGAGCTATTGTCTAATAGACACAGAGTTTCACTTGAAGAAGATGAAGAAATTTTGGACATCAGTAGTGATGACAGTTGATCAGCAATGTAAATTTACTTACTGTCAGAGAAAGGTACAGATAAAAATGGTTTAAATGGTCAATGTGATGTTATATATATTTACCACAGCACAAAAATCAATGTATCTTGACATAACAGAATAAGAGAATTTATATAAATCTTCTCAATAGATGAAATGAAGAGTTGATAAACTTCCCTATTCTCTCCATTATCTAAAAATAGGTGAGCAATCCCACTGGTCAGATTGTAAAATCAGATGGACTTACACTATGGCTATCACAAGAACTTCATAACTGCTAATTTCTAATGCCAAATCTAACTCACCAACAACCCATGATAAAACAACCTTCTGAAAACACAGATCTGACCCCGTCACTCTTCTGCCCTTAGCACTAACTGCCTGCAGGAATTTAAGGCAGGAGAGGACTGCAACAGGAGTCCTGTATCCTGCATACAAACCCATCCAGTACACTCTGCAACATGGATAAAGCTTTCCATCTGCCATTCATTTAGCTCCAACTGTTAACTTCATACACACCTAATAGATCTGTGCATCAGTACTAGCAGCTTCCAGCTTTTCCCAATTCCTCAACTACGTAACCTCCTTATTCAAGACCTGAATCACACATCTGCTGCTCTCTAACTTCTAAATGCTTGCACACTCAGCAGAGATAACCTATCCCTCTATTAAGCCTTCAATGTTCTCTAAATGAGTGTCTATTAGTCCATGTGTGATATTTTAATACCTTTAGGATTTTAAATATTGACTAGCTTCATCTCTTAAACTCATGTTCCTTGAGAAAAGTGATTATATTATGATGTCTATGCATAGAGTCTAGAATATCAAAAGCGATAAATGTTTGGTAATTTAGTAAATAAATACATTAGAATAGGGCTTCTCAAATAGGTTTTGCAAAATCTCTGTCTTATGAGTTATCAAAAAAAATGGGTTTAATGGCTAATTAAACGTGAGAACTACAGCATTCAATAACCTCTTCTCAGAGGTCTACAGTGCACACTGGGGTATCAAAGATCATGGGAAGTAATATAAACAGGAACCTGTCATCTTAAATTTATAATATCCTAAATTTTATACTTGGAATTCATTTATAACTCCAATTCACACCCTATAGAAATAGTATTCTGAGTAACATGCTTTCTGAAACACTGCATTTCTAACATGGCTTAGATATCTGTAATATCTGTCTTATAATTAATGTTATTAGAAAGTTCTGGAGTTCAAATTTTATAGCATCCTATTAAATGTAATATATATAATATTATAATAAAGTAGAAATACTCTGCTATAATTCTCTATTTAACTGCTATTGGTACTACCCGGCCCACCATCAAATGAAACAAAATCCTGGAGACAAAGGCTGGAACCCCACTCACAGAATAAGCACTGCTGAATTCCTCTGCCAGGTCTCAAATTAACAAGGAAATGAGACTGATAAGGTATCAATGTAAAGGGTATTGATTGGTTACTCCATAGTAGGAACAGAATTTCTGAATTTGAGGCAACCAGACAGCCTTGGTCTATATTTGGGGATTCAAAGCAACCAACTTGGGATTCAGATCTTCTGATTTATTACCCTGTTTTTCAGTATCACACAGCACGTGGCTGCTTAAGTCAAGCAAAGAATAACTGCGCTCTTTCCAAAAACAGTTTTAGCTATTATAATTAGGATTTTGTTTCCATAGGAAGTTTTCTTTGCTCAATTCAGAGAATGTTGTGATTATTAACCAGCTGAAACACTTCATGGGTGGACACAAAAATCCTGCCACCTGGAAAAACTATTGAATAATTCACATTTACAATTTGGTGGTGGCACACCTGTCCGTCTTTATTTCAGTGAATGAAAGAAATTAAATAAAAATGACTTATGCATAACTGGTAACATTCAAAGAAACTAATAATTTACTTTTCCAAAGAATTTAGAATTCCAAATTGCTGACTTTTCATTTCCTAAGAATTCCTTTTCTGATTTGCTGTTTCAAACACAAACAATTCGTATATCTTTTACTTGAATATAAATGAGGCTTGTGAATACTTTGAAATAATTAAGAGAATGAAGGATTTATGCTAGTCTGAAGTAAACAAACCTGTTAACCATTTCAGAAAAATAGTCAGCACATAGAAAACCCATAAAAAATGATAGGAACATTTCTAACATCTATTTTCTCATCTACAGCAAAAAAAAAAAAAATTATAATTGAACATGATAGGTTTTATATCTATTTATATCTATTTATTTCCCTTTATCGAGAGCTTTGGGAGAGTAGGCAGCTGTGGAAAATGAGAAACTTACCTAGGCTAGAATTGCCTTTTGCTATAGTAATAGTCCTCTCCAAAGATTCTTTAGATACCTTTTGGAGCATGACACCCTCAGCAGTAGAGGCCAGGGAACTCTGTTCAATTAAGTACTCAGAGCCCTGAAAAAAGAACAAAACAAGCATCATGGAAAGGAAAACTAGACTTTGGAGTGTGATTTCAACATCATGCACGCTCTCTGAATGGTTGTGCTTTATTTAGCAAGATCTATAACCAAAACAAGTTCATAGGTTGACTTCTGAAAACCTCAGTGTCAGGAAGTGCTCATTTGAATGAAAAGATTAGCTGAATAGTCTAACACGTCACTACATGTATCACCCATGGTAATACATAAATCATATCTTCACATATAACCTTTCCAGTTGAGTCGGGTCGCAGAGGAGAGGTAAGTTCTGTACTTGATATGCCTTCACTTGGTAGCTGAGCGTCAGTCCATGTTATTGTGTTTTCACATCCATATTGTTGTTCGAGAGCATCTGCAGGTGTGTAATCATTTATGGTAAAGCCAGAAGCAGGCCTCATGCTCAAGTCTACTGAAGGAAGATTCTCATCTTGTCTTTGCAGGAGATTCTGGGTGTATATTTCTTCCAAAGACATATGCAGATCACGTACTGGATCAGAAGAATTTTCAATGGCATCCTGCTGATGAGAATATAAAAAAAATCAAAAATTGTGACCAGAGTTGTATCAGCGTATAAGACCACTTCTTAATAACTATTCAGCAAAAAAATAAAACATCACACAATTTTTTATTACTCAAAACATATGAACATGCATTTAAGTTTTCCAGTTAGCAGATTCTCCACACATCTTTATCCTCATACATGCTTTAGAGATATTGCCTGCAAATCACACATCTCATGCTCCACGAGTTATATTTGTATTTTATGTGGCATATAATGTAATTTTGACACAATATTATGTTCTAGCCACAATTAAAATGATTCATATTTCAAACTACATAGAAATAATTTATACTTCCAAATCTCACTTATAGTTCATTTCCATTAAGTCTGACATTCCTGTTTATTATGAGATTATGACATTATAAGATGTGACATTAATTGATTTGGATTCACAAGAACATCCAAAAGAAAATAATTTTCATGGTCATTTATAGGTATTTATGGAGAAGCTAGAAAGCCTTAAAACTAGAAAAATTCACGTAAATTATCTGTAGGATAAGGCAGAAAGAATATTACTCTGAGGTGTCATAAAATGTAGGTTCTAATCAAGGTTCTGTTATTAACAATCCAAACGTGATAGAATCTCTCTTGGCCTCTTTGCCTACTTTGCCCTGGCAGTGGAGGCCCATTCGCTGTCTATGGCAAATGTATCCTGCTTTGTAAGCCTATCCTGCTCTGCCAGCCTATCTTTCTCTTCCTCAATAAACTTTGTTTCATGCTTGCCTTAAAACAAGAAAAATAAAGAATCTTACTGCAAATTTCTACAGTTCTCTGAAATAATAAAATTGTATAATATACTACAAATACAAGTATCTCCTCAGAACAGGCATATTATATGTAATTAGCCTATAAAAATAAATTCATTAAGTGTTTCACTATGCATGCTCTGGGCCATTAGTGAGAAAATGACATTTCTATATCTTCTGGAAATATTAATCTAACATTTGTTCAGGTGTTGTCATTTGTTCTTGTCCTTGACATATTCTGAAAATAAAGTCTTGGTGATACATACTGCAGATATTCTCCCAGTCTGTTACTCGTCTTTTTAAGTTTGTATTGGTTTATATTTTATTGTGTAGAAATTACATTCCCTATGTAATCAAATGTGTCAGGTTTTTTGTGCTTCTGGGTGTTACATATTGCCTATAAGTCCTTCTTTCACACAGAGTAAATGAAATGCTTTCTAGTGTTCTTCTTCTATTCCATAAAAGCTTTGCTTTTAGATTTTAACAACCTAGAATTTATTTCAGGGTGTGATGTGAGACCTGGGTCTCTTTTCATTTTTGTCTAAATGGGTAATTAATTGCGCCAACACAATTTATTATGCTCCTTTCCTTCATGTAAGTTATCACCTCTCTGGAATTATTAAATATTGCTGGTACACCAACACGATGCAAGTGGGACTATCATACAAGCAATCAGCATCTTTAGTATCTTCAGAAATAAATGATGGAAAGTATCGTCCTCCACACTCCCAGAATCTAAAGAATAGCGTGTCGGCTCATTCATGCAACTTTGATTATTTTATTATTAGTATGAAAAATAATAATGTACTTAATACAGAATCGGCTAGGTTGCGTATTACTGAATTAATTATGATGATTAGCAGTAAATCATGTTCCCCAGGCCTCAAATAAAAATAACAATCAAACTTTGCTTTATAAAGAAAAGAGGTCAAGTTGCCCTTGTTATCTGTGGTTTACTGTAAATGGTATAAGAGAAATTTCCATGCATTATTCATGAAGGAGTTAACACAGACGCACAGAAAAGAAAGAGCTAATCAACACAGTAGACAACATACGCCCACTTCAGAAACGTTTCTGGTTGCCGAACAACCAACTCAGTTTTATTTTTAAAAGTCTTATGGATCTAAAAGAAAAACAGTTCTTCCCCCATAAGATGTACAGAAATAACTCTACAATTTCCCAGTGCAACTTGGTATCTAAACTGAAGTCTTTCAAAAATACATATTAATATGTGCCTCCACTTGATATATTCTTGTCCTCAGGAAAAAATGGAAAAGAGGTTAAATTAAATGTCAAATATACTTGAAAAAGCACTCTTTCTTAAGTGCAATGCATAAATTAAGGTTAGACTTGGGCACATTATTTACCCAGGTAACATATTTACATAGACTAGCTAAATACTTAAACATTCACTAGCTCAAACTTGTTTTTCTTCAGTACACGGTCTAGCAGAATAAAAAATATACTGCAGGCACATCTGCTCTAACTACCATTCTCCCACTCTTTCTAAGATAAGGAACACTTCCTTTTTTGTTTATATTACACCACTGACCCTACTGAGGGAAAAGGCAAAATCTTTTATGCCTTTAGGAGCTTTCAATTTTGTTACTAAGGCTTTCACAAACACTCCGTGTCATCCTGACTAGAGAGATTTAATTGGTCTTTGATTCCAAGCCTTTCTCGGAAAAAAAAGTAAGAAACAGTATCAACATTCTAAACACAAATGTGTAGGCTGCCATATTTTATACTAGAGAATGACACTGAGGAGGGACCGGGAATATACAGGTTGTTTTCAACGGACTCTATTAGTTGTGCTTGTTGCGTGTAGTACAAAGAAGGCTTCCTATCTGGACAAATGCTGAGTTCAACCTGCCCTGGAATCAGAGGCTTTTTCTGGCAGAACCGACGTTTAGGAAAGAAGGACTGCAGGACAAGCAGCACCTCACTGGTGCCATCTCAGCCCTCGTGAGAGAGACATGGGGAGCCACTTTGGGGGGAAAGGATAAAGAGCACGGATAGCTAAATCTTTACTAGTTATATTTTTAAGTCAAAATGAGAAAGCAGATAGCATATAAAGCATATGAAGCAAAGTTGAGCTTTTAAACAAAACTCTGCTAACATTTACATTTAAAAGCAATTATTTCTGCATTTTGTTATGTCTTTGGAGGTAACAAGGAAAGAGGTTAAAATGATTAATCAAAAACTTAAAACCTAGAGCAATAAGAAAGGAAGAAATCCACAGGCTAGAGTCGTATTGCCTTTAAAATCCACATTTCAATGACCTGCTTGACCCTACGCCATGGAAGGGGGTATATTTTTCAATTATTTGAATAATGGTTATTTCCCTTACATTGTTAAATGATAATTAATTCAGTTAAGCAAACACATAGTCATTAAACAAAAACAAGCAGGATGGGGCACCAAATGGAAGAATTTTGTGGAGAGGAACTTTTATAACACACGGCTACAGCCCTTTGCTGTTTAAGCTGTGGCACAGCCCCGAGCTCTGCTTTGGAGGCTGAGGACTCCCTCTGAGCTCCCAGTAGGCTCTACGACAATTACCCCTCACAACTTCGGGTAGCATACTTCACCAAGACCAAAAACCCCTTCTTTCAGGTGAAGAAACAGGTAAAATTATTTGTCCATTTCTATTTGCCTTTTAAGGCTGTCAAATTATTACATATTTAGGTAATTCCAAGGAATCACTAAGGAATCTTTCTTTTAATTTGATATATAGGTATTTTTTTCATAAATATCATATATAGTTCTACCTTATGAATTTAAAAGCCCTGAAATAAGATCATTTTTTAAGAAAAACAGTCAATTTTAAATTCTATAACAAATCACTCTTGGGTCTTTTTTTAATATTAAATTATAGCTGTGTACATTAATACAGTCATGGGGTACAATGTGCTGGTTTTATATACAATCTGAAATATTTTCATCAAACTAGTTAACATAGCCTTCATGGCATTTTCTTACTTACTGTGTTAAGACATTTGTATTCTACATTTAGTAAGTTTCACATGTACCCACACTTGTGTCTTTTTAAGAAAAAGCTAGTGCAAAGAAAAAGGAAGAATACATTACTTTTTTTTTTAATTTAAGTAAAATTTTCTAGTAAACATCTAAGTACTAGGACGATGCCACCAAAAGAACAAAAAAAAAAAAAAAAAAAAAAACTGTCGCAGAGATTTACCATGATGCAGGAACAGTCCTAATTTCAAAGCAAACTGAAAGCACACAGGAATTTCACAATGTGTTTTAAAACACTCTCATTAACGTCTTCTTTGTTGTTTTGTAGTTTAAATATTTCAGTTGATCGGCCAGCTTGCCAAAATTTGTTTCAACAAAAAAGTAAACTGCTTGGGGGGGAAAAAAAGGGAGGCAAACAGACTTCAGTAAGCCAATATGTTGGGCAGCATACAGCCAGCATTTGCCCTGTAAAATATATGCTTCTCAGTATGCAGATTGTGTAATCCCTTTAAGTAACAATTACTAAATTAAACAATGCAATCTGTCCCACTGGCAAGAAGTGTGCTATGCTCTGGATTAGGAGATTCCATTAGGAGATGAACTCAGCTTCCAGCCCTGAGGCCAGCAAAGACTGAACGCATTCCAGATAGGACACAGCCAGACAGACAGTCTCAGGTGTGGTGGGAAGAGCAGCTGCGCCACTCAAGATTATACCTTGCAAACCAATTCAAGGAGATTGCTCAGCATCATCAGCAAGGAAAACAGGTGCATCTTGAACATAAAAGAAAATGCTTTGAAAATTTTCTGGCCAAAAACCTTACTTGTTAATCAGGAAAGGAGAAACACTTGCTAGACCTATGCAAATCCTACTTTCAACTCATTTATAAATACAGAACCCTTGCCATGCAAGGGGAATTCAAGTTTTGTGGAAAATACATATTTCATGCATTGGAGAAAAAATATTATCCATTTTAATGTTTAATGTTTATTTATGCTGTATGTCTAGAATAGAAAAATACAGAAAATGTATCCCTAAATGAACTCTTTGCCAAGATTTAATAGATATAAACATTTTGCCATATTTTCTTCAATATGCCTTTCTTTTTAAAATGTTACAATGTATTAGAAATACAGCTAAATTCCCATACTTCTTTTTCTCTAAGGAAAACTTTCCTGAAATTGAGAAATATCGTGGCCACCCAATTGCAGACTTTACTACATATAGTCTTATAAAATATATGTATTGAATTGCTTTGTATATCAATTTCAAAAAATAAACATCTCTAACAAATAAAAGATCAGCAACCCAATAGAAAATGAGCAAAAGATACGAAGAGATATAAAGATCTACAGGTGAAAAGTGAAAATTGAATAGCCAATATTATGAAAAAATTTTCAATCTCACTAGTAATCAGGAAATCCAAATTAAAATAATGAAGATACCATTTCACACTCAAAAGAATGGATGGGTTTTAAAATATTACTCATTCACCAAGAAAATTAAACAAAGTTGAGGCATTTAATAATTGAACCAATAATTTCTAAAATATAAACGGCACAAATATGTCAAATAGTAACTTTGCCATTCTCTACAATTTTCATGTAAAATATGCTTTGCCACTATTTTACATATCACACGATGGCATTAAGTTAAAGTTAGCTAGTAAATGGTAAATTAATGCAAGAACTATTTTACTATCAAACTTTGCATAGAAGTCAGTTTTAAAACCATTAAGAAAACAAAGTTATTCTTCCAAAGTAATTTTTCCTAAGTAGACCCTGCTAAAAACACAACTTGAGAAATACATGACATGAAAATTTTTCTTTCTTGACATACAAACTCTAGTCAAAGCTTACAACCCTGTGTTATCACTGTTTCAGACATAAATAGCCCGTAATAATCTGAAACATATCCAGTCAGAATGTGCTAAGTGATATTGTACTTTAATTTGGTAATGAATTCATAACTGGAGAAATACAATGTACCTAACAGCCTGTTCCCACAACTCCTCATCTATATGCACGAACCACTGGAAAATTATATACAATGTTTTCCCATAAATGAAGTGGCATTGCCTTTGTACCTTGGGAGGAGAGGATGGAAGGGAGTGACCATAGTTCAGGCCATCACTACAAGCACTACCATGAAGAGATAAAATAGATGCTTGAGTAGAGTAGATACTGTCATTATCAGGAGAATATTGAGATTCAAAAGTGGAATCATCTACTATCTCAGAATCATTTGTGTCCACCTAGGAATAAAACAATAACATCAGTTAAAATTCTGTCTCATTACATATGGGACAGCCCCCACTGGAGATAAAAGGCATCCTGGTATCCTTCTTTTCTCTATTCTGTCTTCCATATGCCCTCGTCAGCACACTAAAGACAGACTAATACAGCAGAACAAAGAAAACTGCCAATCTACAGCAACAGGTCCTGGCATACAAAGTTATTTTATTCCATCCCTAACTGGGCTAAAGGTAACACTACCAAAGGGCCTGGATCAACTGTAACTTTAAATAGTTTGTTAGTTAAGGAAAATATTTACTTTTTTCCCAGTTCCTCTGCCCAAATCTTACAATGACAATAAAATGAATGGGGTCATCACATTTCCTATTCAACTAAAATAAACCGTTACTCAACAAGGCAATTATATGTTTGTAAACTACAATAAAACTATATATTTTTTTCAATTATCTTTAACTATATTTTAAAATCATTCAAGTTGCTGAAAGCAAAGAGAAAATCTGTGATTTTAAGCTAAAATTATACTAACAAACAAAAGGCCTAATTATGATGATACTTTTAGTTATAAATTTGTTGGAAAACTCATACAGAGTGAAAGAGAATACTTTACTGTATCTTTTCTAAAAATCCTATTACTATCTTATGTCACAGAACCAAAAGAAAGAATTAAGTCATGATGAGCTTGAAGCTCTTGCAATTTATTTATAGTCACATACTAGAAAGACAAAACTGAAATAAATCCTACCGTTCTCTGATATTACCAGCATTTTCTGCCTACCTTGACAAGATCCCATTTGTTCTACTTCTTTATGATGTCAACTTGCATGTTTAGACGGAAGTAAGAAGCATGATAACATTATACCAGGCCACAGCTTACCAAAAATACAGGTAGCCCATTTCAAAGTGACCCTCTCTTTAAATCTATTTCATACATGTTCAAATTCAGGAGTGAATCAATATGTGGATGTTTATTCTTAAAAATGTACATTATGTACAATAATCTAGATAGTCTTAACTAGGTCTTAAGATATAAATTACAAATGATAAACATTTGTTTTAAGTAACATTAAAGAAAGAATACCTTAATATAATTTGTTTACCTATCACTGATAACTATGAATTTGAAGAGCGAGCCTAACAATCAATTTGCTTAATTACTCTACAGATAAAACACTAGAGCCCACAGTAGCTGAGTGGCCAGTCCAAAATTACAATAGCTGATTGCTGGTTAGGGAGAAGACCCAGGGCACATATTACCACTATAATATGGTCAGATCACATAAAAGTAGAGCTAACCTTCTTTCTGAGTGGCATTCATTTAAGGAAGTTCAAGGAAGCCATGTAAATGAGAAATAGAATATTATTTCTTGGGGTACTTTAGAGAGAATGATTGTGCAGCATTTGCGTCCTGCAACATTTCAAAAAAAAATCTGCAATGGCTGGGTATTAGTTGATACCACAGTACCTTGCATAATTCATTGCATAATAAGCTCTTCATATTTAGTTGTGAATTGCCAATATAATGCTCATGGAGATTAGGGACAAAAATACCTCTTTAAGTGTTAATGTATAAAATTAGTGCATTTATTATAATACACAGAAAAACTTTCCAAATGGCTATTTTAGGAGCTTGGAATTTAAAAATAAATTCCAACTGGAGAACTATCTCTCCCAAATTAGGATTACCAATATGTGTACAAAGTAAAAGAAATAATTCACGCTCTGGTTTAAACAAGATGTATGCAATATCAATTATAAATACAGAGGAAGAATTAGAAAGGTTGTAAACCTCTCTCTAGTCTAACGACGCTAAAAACTGCAAAATGCAGGCACACTCATTTCTGGTGACACTGGACAATGTTTGACCTCCCAAAAATGTTAAGTCAGAAACCTAGTGATAACAGTAGGAACACTGTGAATAGGATGCACAATTTGCTATTTTTATTTTATGTAAATGTTACATGCATATTTATGTCTGGTATTTAGCTTTATCCTCAAATTACTGACAAAGCATTGTCCCCTCTACCAGAAAGGTTCTTTAGGGTAGCACAGCCATACTTTTTTAAAATATCAATCAGAAATAAAATTTTAATTTAAAATATTCTAGTAAATGAATCTATTTACATACTTACTATACATATATCTTTTTTAAAAAACATGGTTTTACCTTTTCTGGAAACTTTAATGTTTGTAATTATTTGACCAATTTATATGATTGTCACACCATTAATATCGGAGGAAAAACTATGCCTGCCACTCATTTAAAGGTAGCCAAAATACCCATACTGCATACTAACCACTAACTACTGCATACTAACAGTAGTTAAAAAATGCCTCAAGGGCCAGGCACAGTGGTTTACGCTTGTAATCCTAGCTCTCTGGGAGGCAGAGGCAGGAGGAATCCTTGAGCTCAGGAGTTCAAGACCAGCCTGTGCAAGAGCAGGACCCTGTCTCTTCTAAAAATAGGAAAAACTAGCTGGGCATTCTGGCGGGTGCCTATAGTCTTAGCGACTTGGGAGGCTGAGACAAGAGGATCACTTGAGCCCAGGATTTTTGGTTGCTGTGGACTATGATGCCAGAGCACTCTACCCAGGGCAACAGAGTGAGACTCCGTAACCCTGCCCCCACAAAATGCCCAGAGATATCTACATATGGAATTAAAACAAACTAGTGGTGCAATACAATGCTAACTGAATTTTCCCCACAAATCCAACAAATACTTTTCACATTTATTATGACTTTTTCCATTTTCAATTGTGAGAAATGTCTGAGTTGGAGAGTACATGTTTCCTAAACATAATCAACACAGAATATAGTAAGACTTCAGAATATTTTGAAAAGCAAAAAAGTCATACAAGTTCTACAGGGAAGTTTGATAAATCACAGCCACTAACCAGAGCCAAGTCAGCCCTGAAGAGGGCTTTGTCCGCCAACCCTGCATCCTCCTGTGAGGGTAGTTGGTACAGAAAGGAATCCTCCTTAGCAGAAACATAACCTTCTTCCGGTGAAAGCTGCAGGAAAAAGGGTGTTTTTGAGGACCAGTTCATGGAAGAAAAAAAACAGCAAAGAGGAAAGGAATGGGGGAAAAACAGTAAGGGGAAGAAAAGTGAGAAGAGATAAGAAAAAATGGGAAAGTTTTCAAATGATAACATATAACTTTAACATCGATTCATAAGTATAAAAAATCTAATAAATATTCATATTTGAAAACTTTATTTGTTAAGATCCAATGAGGATATTTATTGTAATATGAACATCATCTGTTAGATGAGATCCCCTCTCTACTAAATTTTTCATTTGCTCCTTATAAAACATTATCCAAATCAACAATTTTTTATAACAATCTTCTGGGTATTTTTATCTACTAAATATTCTGGTCAAATAATTGCTCTCTAATATAGAAATGAACCCTTTTTAGGTGTTAAGGAATAAAAGAAGTTGCAAAAGAACAAGAAATTATAAAGGATCAATTTCTCTCTGTAATCCTTTTCTAAAATAGAAATTTAGGTCCAAAGGTAATACCCATAATTGCCTAACTTAATGTTTACACTGTGTTATGATTGATTTCTATAATACTGGTTTGATTTTAGGTTGGATTAACATATGCTTCATTCTTCTCTCCCTCCCTCTTCCTTTTTTCATAAATATGTTTTCACAGGATATTGAAATTATTTATGGACTAAAAAAGGATACATGAATAATTTAATTAACACTTAAAATATATTATCCAACCTTACTATTTAAGACAGATTCTTTCATAAAAATCAACAAATCCATATTGCTATTGATGCAAATATATCTGTGTTTGCACTGTCTTAAGAATATGTATATTGGCCTTTTCATTTAAAATTATATTTATATACTGGGCAAAATCTCAAATATTGAGAATGTCTCTAATATTTAATTACAATGCAGACTGATAAATGCCATGTTGGAATTATAACATCTAATAAACAATGTTTTAAGTAACAATGTCATTAATTGTTTTTAATATTGCAGGAATTAATGATAATGAGAGCTATTCCCACCTAGGAGAAGAGCCGCAAACTGACAAAGCCATTTTGCAACTTTAATTTCCTATTTTGTAGTAATTAGACAAATGTGTTGATTCAGCTGAATCCAGGAAGTTGAGCCACTCTGACAGAGATTCTACTTTACACCATAGTGATTAAAGATTGTTAGTTGTTAAGGCTATTGATTTTTCTAATATGCCACATTGGTATATTACTTTAAAGCCTTCATTCTTCAAAATATTTGACTCTGCACTATTCATGACCTCATTACTAAATTAAAAAAGTTAAAAGTAAACCACACAGCAGTAAGTTATAAATTTATTCCCGAACTTCCTACTTTGTTTACTTTCCTTTATTTTTATAAAATATTATAAAAATTAAATCTTTATCTCTATGAAGCCAATAATCATGTTGATAAAAAGTCACAAAAGTCATGACTCAAACTCAAAAACATCTGAGGTTTAAAGTTAAGTCATGAATCATTTTCTCTGTAAATATGAAAAGAAAACAGTACAATCTGAATTCTCACAGGCAAAGGCTTAGCAACGCCTATCCTCACAGCTCCTGAGGGTGCTCCCTTCAAGGCTTCTACAGCTTCCTCAAGACTGCTGTTGTCCAAGCTAATGTCATTGACAAACATGAGCCTATCTCCAGGAAGAAGTCTTCCATCCTTTTCAGCAACACCTCCAGGCACCAAAGAACGAATTACAATCACAGTGCTTGCTGGATCAACTGGATCCTGAAAAAACAGAAAAAGAAAGAGAAGTAGCTCATTTTTTACAGAAAAAAAAAATCCTTTACAAAGCTTTTTCCCTCTGAATCATAAGGGATCACTGTTTCAAAGTGTCTTGAAGAAAATTCATGAAAAAATTTCATACAAAATTTCTATGAAATATCTAGGCAAAAGTCATCTCTTTGAGAGATTAATTTGAGAGATTAAAAAGAGTTCACCTACACTTTTACATCGCTGGTGGGACTACAAACTAATACAGCCTCTTTGGAAAGAAGTATGGAGAATCCTCAAAGAACTCAAATTAGACCTATTTGAGACTATAATCCCATTACTAGGTACCTACCCTGAAGAAAAAGAATCATTTTATCGTGAGAACATTTGCATTAGATTGTTTACTGCAACTCGATTTACAATCACCACAATGTGAATCAACCCAAGTGCCCATCAACTCATGAAGGTATTAAAAAACTGTGGTATATGTGTATCACAGAATACTATTCAGCCATAAAAACAGAGACTTTACATTCTTTGTATTAACCTGTACAGCGTCAGAAAACATTCTCTTTAGTAAAGTATTACAAGAATGTAAAAGCAAATTTTCAATATATTCAATACTTATATGCAGCCAGTAGACAAACTAATATATGCTAAACAAGAGAAAAATTCAATTTCATTCAAGCTGGGGAGGAGGGAGATGAAGGAGAAGGAGAAGAGGTGGGGGGGGGCTTGGGGTGCTCTCCCCTAATGAGCACAATTTAAGGATTTATGGTACACTTCGTGGGTGAGGGGCACAAGAACCTTACTTAACAAATATAAACATGTAACCTAATGGTTTATACTCTCATATTAATCTGAAACCTAAAATTAAAAAAAGGAGTTCACCTGCAATTGAGCAATTGTGAATATTCCTGACAACATATTTTCACTTGCACAGATAGCTTTAAAATCATAATTTTAATTTTTGATAAATTGTCAAACTGTATAACTATCATTCAAGGACAGATGTTGATTATATTAATTATTAACAACAGCATTTGCTAAATAGGATGTTATGACGTGGAACATCAACTTACCACTACATATGAGTACACTGAAAGGAGGACCTGACCTTTTGAAATGAAGAAATAGAGAGAAACCATGCAGTACATGATGCTGCAGTGTTTTCAGGTACATGGTGACATTCATATTGGAACAAGGCTCCAGAACTGGCCCAGTGAACACAACTCCCTGGAGTCATCTGAGATGGCATCTGGTTCAGTATTATTAAGAACCAAGAGCTGCACTCTATCAGATAGGATTTAACATTTTCTCATGTATTCAGTATGAGCACAATGCAGGTGGTACTGGCAGGACACAGGCCACTGCCACCACTGATCAATTTAAGCATATTCATAAAATTACTCAAATGACTGGAATGCCAGAATTTATGATACAATTATAAATTTAACATTCACATAGATGAAAGAAATAAACATCTAATTCTTTATGATTTACCATTAAAATATAAAAACATGGAAATAAAAATAATATAAACCCACTCTCAAATAACAAAAAAAAACTATATTTCTATAACAGTCTTAAAATGCACTCTCCGTGTTCTTCAAATTTCCAAGAACTAAAATATAAAATAGCTCAATGAATTCAATGTTAAATTTGAATTCATGATAATTTATGATAATCAATGAATTATATAAATTGCTATTTTGAAAGACGGACTTAAAAAAACAAACACGTCTTTGATGATAATAAAATATCATCTGTGATATATCATCTTTTAAAAAAAATTGTTAAAATTTAGGATATATTTACCTGATAATCTAAAATGCTAAAACCAAGTCCTTTGCTTCCCTTCTCCAGCTCTATGTACTGAATGCCAGCCTCCCACATGGCCAAAGGTTCTTGAACCTCCTCGGTATTCTGCCCCACATCAGTCATTGCCAGCACTGGATCCTCTGTCTCTGAGGACCCGATGAATTCACCTAGATCTACATGAGGCTGGATAACAGATAAGACAGCTCTTATTTCAAAGGCAATAGATTAGCAGATACACTTACCAATGCTATAAGGAAAAAGAAGATTCCCAGCACCTGGCCAGAACAAAACATTCTCAAATAAGAGGAGCAATGGCTTACCTTGGAACCTTTAAAATTAAGGTCATAACTACTGAAAGTTGTAAAAGAGGGAAAAATACCCAAGCTGTAGCAAATATTAAAAACAATATAGTTAAAGCTCTACTTGGACAATGGTTGTATCTCAGCAGCACAACTAAGGGTGATTTTCACTTTTTCGTCAGAGTCTGAATCACCACTATTATCAGAAAAAAAAAATTGTAAAGCTATTTTGATATTAAAAGAACTTTTATGATAATATTAATTCAAGAGAAAATGGATGCATAAAAGTGCTATTCTATACAGATGAGAGTTATAAAGTGCTCTGCTTTGTACAAAAGACTATAGAAACAAATGACTATTTCATTAGTAAGTTAACATACACAGTGGCAAAACAAAATTTGAAATCTTTTTTATCCCAGTTTGAAGGCTGTTTCTGTGATTATAACCTGCATTGCATTGAGAAATATTCTTAATCTGGGCTTTACAGAAACCCATCTCATAGATTTTTCTGAGAATTACATGAGTTACATTTATAAAGCATCTGACACAGAAACAGACATTCTAAATGTTAGCTTCTTTCAGTAAAAGTAAATTAAAGTGAATATAGGTTAATTCAACTTTGTTGAACATACCAAATTAAAGAAAGCATTGTTTAGAATGAAATTCTAGTTTGTGTACTATCTTGCTTTTAATCAATTGTTGCACAGCATACGACCACAGATGAAAATTACATCCACCTGTTCCATTGTAATCCCATTTACGTACGCCATGTAAAAATACATATGGATATAAATGGTGCTATCCTTGGAGTACTACACAATTTTGAATTATGTGTCTTGTTCTATCCTATTCGAAGCACCCATGTGAATATTAAACTATGTATTTTATTTTTCAAAATAAATTAAGTTTTAATTTTATTTAAGTTTTCAAAGTTTTAAAGTTATTCCATTGTTGTGATTCCTTCGGGGCAATGTGAATCAAATCCTAACATCATTTTTCATGTACACCTTAAATGAGATTTGATTAGACTACCGATTATGCAAAACCCAAAGCTAAACATTAGATATCTATTATGTATCCTCAGAAAATCTGATTAGCTCCATTTCTTAACATTTCGATCTGAATGGAAAAGAATAAGCAAAAGTAAAATGGGAGTTTCTGAATGTCACAGATAATTACTGACACGTAGCATTATGAGCTAAAATTTCTCATATTTTAAAGGTATATGTACAAATAAGACTTATACCTACCAAGTGCTATGTCCAATTTTAGCCATTCACTAAGCACTGTATGCCTTGCACAGAGCTGAGCAGGTTATATAAAAGTATCTTTTACCACATATGTACCATATATATATATGTGTATGTATGTGTGTGTGTATATATATATATATATATATATAAGCACTACTTATATGTCAGTTTCCTTTTATGCAAATACATATCTACTTAATAGGAATATTGCATGAAAATTCTACAAGTGCACAGTGTGCAGTAATACCCAACATTACTAATCACCTTATTTAACCTTTAGGGCAACTCTTTGAGACAGACATCATAACCACATTTTAAACAGCAGAAAACTGAAGTTACAAAAGATGAATGATTTGCCCAAGTTTACAGAGCTAGTATAAAATCTGATTCAAACACAGGTCTGACTCCAAAGTCTATATTTCATAAACCATAGGCCATATAAAATCAAATATTATATTTTTAAAAGACTAAAAAAATTTTAAATATCATTTAGCCTTTCCATTATGTATTCTGATCAGCCTAATGTCTGTAAATCCAATACCTTTTCTGTTAGCTCAATATCACATAAGTCCAGGCTATCCAGTTCTGAGTGGGTGGTGGGGGGCACAGTTCGACGACAACACACCATTGTCACTTCTATGGGCAGTTCTTTCAAGATATTCACCACATCTTGGTGATTTTCCCCAAGCAAAGTTATGCCATTCACCTGTGGAAAAAGATACATTGTGCAAGGAAAAATAACATTTCATAAAATGAACATTCTTCTAAATATAATTTATTATTAAGTAAATATAAATCTTACAATGATGTTTATCACAGTGCTGTGCTTGTTACCTACAGTTAGACCTGTGGAAATACCATCTAGAACAACTTACGCGCAAGTTTAGAGTCTGCTGACAGGGAAACCACTAGCTTTTACTCTTTTTTTGGCAGTTTTTGGCCAGGGCTGGGCTTGAACCCACCACCTCTAGTATATGGGGCTGGTGCCCTACTCCTTTGAGCCACAGGCACCACCCTAGCTTTTACTCTTATTTGATCTGCCAGTGTTATGACTTTGGAAAAGGGAAAAGTAATAAAAATAGCCCCATAGGATGAAAGGGGAAGAAAAAAAGTTTATAAAAATTGACATTTTATATAATTATTAAGTGAAAAAATGGGAATGGCATGTAGGTTATGGTAGCATGTTATCAAAAGTAAGGGGAAAGTATATATTGAAACTTATTTATGAATTAAAAATACTGACAGGTTACACAGAAACAAATCCACCAGTAAGTTCCCTAACAAAGTTTGATGAGAAGGTGAATGGGACAGTAAGGAGATATTACATTGTTTATCTGTGTATTCTCTATAATTTTAAAACATGTAAATGTATTCTCAAAATTGAATAAATATTTGAACATTGTAAAAGAGCAAAGAGCAATTTTATAATTGTCTGGACCTAATAAAAACAAAAGCATGGCATTATATCTGAAGTTCAATGTACATACTGGTATGGAATTTCTGTTTGGGGCAATTTTTATTAGCAGATCTTAAGAACTCTTTAGAGAAGAAATTTAAAATAAGATCTTACTTATTCACCACATTAAGCTTCCTGCAGTCTTTTCTGAGTCTTATTTAAGAATGAGAAAAAATAGCATAAATTCTTACTTCCAATAGCTCATCTCCACTGAAAAGCTTCCCACTGTGTCCAACAGGACCTTCTGGTAGAACAGACCGGATAAAATGGTGTCCCACTGTTGCTTCCAGACTTATCCCCAACCCACTGTTCTCACTAAACTTGTTCACACGGGCCACCTGAAAAGAGAAAAGTTACAATTCTATTACTCTTCCTTCACTGAAAGAGTACTGGTGTCTTTTGGTTTCTTGAACTAACACAAAATGAAAAGGAAGCAGCCATTGTAAGATCTCTTTTTCTTCTCTCATAAATAGGTTAACAATTTCCTTCCTTGTTACCAAATTAGGAACATGAGATTTAGAGAGGCTACCTTAACCAGAATAACCCAGCTATAAAAGAGCTTTGAAGCTAAGCAATCTAGAGCCACACTCCTGATGTTACAGTGTATTGATGAACAACAATGGTTTTAAAATTCATAGCCTAAACACCTACATGGAAAAGACAAAAGATCACCCATTAACATCTAATGACATTTCTTAAGGAACTGGGAAAGGCAAATCAAAGCCAAAGCCAAAAAAAAAAAAAAATAGGTCAGAGCAGAGCTAAGCAAATGGAAAACAAAAAATATACAAAGGATGTACAAAACAAAAAGTTGTTTCTTTAAAAAGATAGGGGAAAAAAGTGATAGACTAGCCAGGAATAGAAGAGAAAGGACTCAAAAAAGCTCAAGCAGAAATGAAAAGGAAAATACTACAATTGATACCATAGATTCAAAAAGTCATGGGTAAGCACTATGAAAATCTCTAAGCACACAAACTAGAAATCATAGAGGAAATGGTCAAATTTCTGGAAACATACAACCTCCCAAGACTCAATCAGGAAGCAACAGAATCCTGGAACAGACCAAGACTGAAGCAGTAATAAAAAATCTTCCAATAGCAACAAAGCCTTGGACCAGATGGATTCACATCCAAATTTAACCGTACTTACAAAAAACTGGTACCTAAACTGCAGAAAAAATAAAGAGTATTCAGATCAGGAAATAAGAGATCAAAGTATCATTTTTTGCTAACAATATGATCTTATATTTAGAAAACCACAAAGATTCCATAAAGAGACGCCTGAAATTAATAAAAAAAATTCATCACATTCTTGGATTATAAAATCAACGTACACAAATCAGTAGCATTTCTATACACCAATGATAGTCAGACTTAAGAGTCAAATCAAAGATCCAATACCATTACAATAGTTATAAAAAAATAAAATACCTAGGAATATACTATCTTAACCAAGGAAGTGAAAGATCTCTATAAAAAGAACTATGAAACACTGAGGAAAAAAATCACAAAGAACACAAACAAATGGAAAAACATATCATGGTCACAGACCCACAGAATCAACATTGTTGAGATGTCCATACTACCCAAAGAGATTTACCAGATTCAATGCAATCCCATCAGAATGTCAACATCATATTTTACAGAGCTAAAGAAAATACATCTATGCTTCATTTGGAATCAGAAAGAGTTCGCATAGCCAAAGGAATCTTAAGCAAAAAAGGTCAACTCTGGGGATCACTTTACCAGACAGCAAACTATACTACAAGACTATACTAACCAAAACATCACAGTATTGGCAAAAAAATAGAGAAATGGAACAATGGGACAGAACCAAGAACTCAGATAGAAAACCACCAACTACAGCCAACTGATCTTTGACAAAGCAGACAAAAATATACACTGCAGAAAAGACTCCCTATTGAATAAATGATACTGGAAAAATCGATGGCCACATGTGTAAGATTGAAACCAGATCCACATTTCTCACCACTCACAAAAATTAACTCCAGAGATAACATATTAAAATGTACAACACAAAACCATAAGAATTCTAGAAAAAAATATAGGAAAAACTCTTCTAGATACTGGCCTAGACAAAGAATTTATAACTAAGGCCTCAGTGGTAATCATAGAAAATAACAAAAATAGGCTCGGCGCCTATAGCTCAACCGGCTAAGGCGCCAGCCACGTACACCTAAGGTGGCCGGGTCGAATTCTGCCCGGACCCGCCAAACAACAATAACGGCTGCAACCAAAAAATAGCCGGGCGTTGTGGCGGGCGCCTGTGGTCCCAGCTACTTGGGAGGCGGAGGCAGGAGACTTGCTTGAGCCCAGGAGTTGGAGGTTGCTGTGAGCTGTAATGCCACGGCACGCTACCCAGGGGGAGAGCTTGAGGCTCTGTCTCAAAAAAAAAAAAAAAAAAAAGAAAATAACAAAAATAAGCAAGTGAAAAAAATAAAATAAGCAAGTGGAGCTTGATCAAATTAAAAATCTTCTGCATAGCCAAAAAAAGAATCAATATAGCAAATAGACAACCTCCAAAATGGCAGAAAATATTTGCAAACTATAAAATTGATAAAAGCCTAATAACCAATATTTCCAAGGAACTCAAATAAAGCAAGAAAAAAATAGGTCCATTAGAAAGTGAGCAAAAGTTAGAAATAGAAGCTTTTCAAAAAAAGATAGACAACAGGACAATAAACATGGAAAACTGCTGAACATCACTAGTTACCTGAGAAATGAAAACTAAAACCACAATGAAGGATTACCTTACTCTTGTTATCACAGCTTTTATCAAAAAGTCCAAAAACAACAGATCCTGGTATGGATCAGAGAGAAAGGAACACTTACACACTGTTGGCAGGACTGCAAATTAATACAATATTTATGGAAAATAGTATAGAAATTCCTAAAAGAATAAAAGTAGACCTACCATGTGATTCTGCAATCACATGACTGAGTATTTACTCAAAAGATAAGAAGTCATTTAATCAGAAAGATACCTACTCTTGGCACTTAAATCTTTATTGCAGCACAATTCACAACTACAAAGACATGGACTCAACCTACATGCCCATCAGCTCATTAGTGGATTAACAAAACGTGGTGTATGAATACCATGAAATACTACTCAGCCATGAAGAAGGATGACTAAATGCCTTTTGAAAAAAATTAATTGGAACTGCAAACCATTCTCCTAAGTGAAATATCTAAAGAATGGGAAAACAAACATCATTATGTACTTGCTATTAAATTGGAACTAACCAATGAGCACACAAGTATGCAGAGGGACGTAAAACTCAGTGGAAATCATGCAATGGTGAGGAGAAGATGGCTTGGGCTAAAACCTGCCTAACAGGTACAATAAACACTATTTGGCGATGGGCACACTTACAGCCCTGACTTAAATTTTACAAAAGCAATTTGTGTAATCAAAAACATTTGTAACCCTGTGAAATTTTAAAATAAAAATAAAAGAAACTTAAAAAAAAGAAAAAAATGAATCAAAGCTTAAAACCAAATGTTTTAAGCTTAATGTTTCACTAAATAATGAAGAATGTTAGGAAATTATCTATTTTCACAGACACTCCAGTAATTATAATATTAAAATGAAAGGTATGTTAAACATGATCAGCTTCATTCCTTTTTATTTTACCGTTAAGGAAAGTGAGGACTGCAAAAAATTCATTAGAGTTCTTTCAAATGTCAATAACAAATACAAGGTGATATGTTAAACCTTGCATATGTCATATGCAAGATCAGAAACATCATGTGACTTTGAAAACTAATACTGGATGAAATCTTTCTCTCCTCATAAACCTAATTCAGACATTACTTTCTCAAAGAAGCCTCCCAGGTCCCTACTGATGTCCATCAGTTCTCTCATCGCTCCTTCTGTGATTCCATTTACGCTGTATAACTATATAGCAACTATATGAAGTCTGATCTCTACCTCATTTGCCTTTGTCTGAGCAGGGCCCATAAATAACTGAAGTCATTTCTCACTTCTGCCCTTAACAGACCACTAGGAATGCCACCAAGGCAGCACGTGCACAAAGGCCAATTCAAAGCTGTATGTGATAAAATGGCTAAAGTTGAATTGAATTCATTATACAATTATTCATTCAATTTACTCAATTATTTATTAATGAATAATTCATTCAATTATTCATTATTCTCACTTATGCATGCCAATCACATTAATTCTACCCAATAAAAGGAATCCCTAAACTTTCTTTTCATATTAAAGTAGGCACTTTTAGGCTGGATTTTTTTTGTATTTTTTGACTCAATGTACAATGGTAATTACAGGTGCACTTAATTCTTACTTGACTGTTAATCGTCTCAAATGTCAAAAAAGATTATGATCATGAGGATCAAATGAAAGCACAGCACTTGATAAGTACTATTTCTTAATATAGCATGTCATTATCTGTTGTGTTTCTTTTACAATCTAGACACATATAGTATTTTAAGAAATATGAAAAATTCCACCCAGTATATTATTTAATTTTTCCTTTTGAAATCCCTGAAGTTTGCTCCTATGTATCTAAAGATTGATAATTTAGCCTTCTTTAGAGGATCATTATGCTAGATATACAAACTATTCATAAACACAAATAGTGTACCATGGCATATGGGATATGAAATAAGCACGCAGAATTAACCTCTTAAAGAACAAGAAAAGTGACAAAGGAGTGGGAAAGAATCCTTTATAATTATGTTCATAGGTCATAATAATTTGTTTTTTAATTTTAAGGCAACTGTCATTCTATTTGATTCTTTTTACAAATACAAGTTTAGGAATCAGAAACTTGTGTCTACCCTGTTTATATGAATACCAGAAGTATTAAAATATTGATAAAATACGAGTTCTAACACTTTCATCTCTTTACTTCAGCTCCTTAGTTTCTACACAACATTGTCCAACTTAAAATTTTTTTAATACCTGCATCACCAAATTCAGGTCCTATAAGAAAGCTGTGACTAGATTAAAAATTTCAAAAATTAAAAAAAATAAAGCTTTGGACATTTAATACTTCTCTGGAACTCTTCATGATGACTACCTTTACTACTGCCATGAACTTCCTGCTCAAATACAGTTACGAGTTAGGCCATCAGGGCGGCAAGCTAACCTACCACTATTTCATAGTTAATGCCCATAACCCTTTGCCACTTCGTCAGCAGGCCAGCTTCCTGTTGTTTCACATCCTCTATGTCTTCTATTCCGGCTGACAGCAGTGGATACCCTGAAATTAGCAAGGCAATTAAGTTAGTGACCCATTGCAAAAGTCTCTGCATCTTTACATTCTATACCAGGGAACTCTGTAATCAAAACCTGTCTAAGAGGGTGGTGCCTGTGGCTCAAAGGAGTAGGGTGCCTGCCCCATATGCTGGAGGTGGCGGGTTCTAACCCAGCCCCAGCCAAAAGCTGCAAAAAAAAAAAAAAACCTGTCTATGATATTAAGTGAACTTTTCACCCAATATTATAGGTTACTTCATTTCTAATCTTATTTTAATAATTTAATTTAGTATTCCACAGTTTGATACTATCTTTTAATACACATAGATGTTTTTCAGATTTCAACTGTATTTCCACTATAGCATCCACATATTACATAACTTTTATTTAAAAGTATGAGGACTCTGAGTTACTCCAGAATTCACCTGGTATCCTTTAGTGACTTTATAGTAGAAAGCCAGGTCACCTTCCATGTTAAGTATATCTCTTTCATTTTCATTTACTTTTCTCATAAGAAAAAGGATTATGCTATTACTTAGCAAGAAAAACTAAAAAATTAACCAATTATAAATAAAACTCCATGCACAATGAGAAAATATAGACAAAATACTGAAAAAGAAAGATTGTACAATAAACTTAATGCCTATAATTGGAATTCCTCTAATTGGCAAAAGAGAAATGAGAAAAAGGAAGAAAAACACTAAAATTATATAAATGATATAGAAAGAAAAATGCTTAGCTAAAGCAAGAAACTGGTTGAGAAGAATATTAAAGTCAGATTCAGAGATTTTTAGGTTTCATCAGTTTTCTTCTTATAAAAGATAGTCTTTTTAAAAGATAGAGTCTCATTCTATCACCTAGGATAGAGTACAGTGACTTAATCACAGCTCACTGCAACCTCCAGCTCCTGGTCTCAAGCAATCCTTCCACCTCAGCCTCCCAAAGCACTAAGATTACAGGCATGAGCCGCCACACCCAGCCTCATCACAGTTCTTACTACTACGAGTTGTTTATCAGAAATCTCTGTAATACAGTACTCTCTAAATTAATTTTTCAATATGCCTTTTAACAATCAAGATTCCAAATTTAAAAATTGTTCCAAAATTCAGATTTCTCATTAGCTGACTAATTCCTTCTAGTTGGAATTAGAAGCTTTCATTCCAGCCATTCTGGAATATAGATTTGTTCTGCTTTAAGTTAATAAAATGATTCTGTTTTCTATTTGAGAAGTTGAAAAATGAAAGCTATATTTTAAAACATGCAGACTAGAACCCCCAAATAAGTGTTTTATCTTCAAAATTAAATTCAGTACAGAGGTCGATAGACATAAAAGTATAGGTAGATAGAAAAAGTTCTAGTGTTTTATGGAAATCACAGGGTGAGTATAATTAACAATTCATTGCATATATTCTTTTACAAATTTTTGATACAAAATAATCGTACATATTTATGGGGTACATAAGATATTTTGACACATGCATACAATACATTGTTAGGACTACATATGCATATAATGGTAATTACAAGATTCAACACCTCAAACATTTCCCATTTCTTTATGTCAGGAACATGCCATAGCTTCTCTAGCTATTTTGAAGTATACAATAATTTATTGTTAATCATCGTCAACCTATTGTGCTATTGAACACTAAAATTTCTTCTATTTGAATGCAGTTTTGTACATATTAACAAACCTCACTTAATCTCCCCTCCTCTCTACCAACCTTTGGTAACCATGACCCTATTCTCTGCTTTCCTGAGACCAGCCTTTCTTAGCTCCCCCGTACAAGAGGGAATATGCAATCTTTGTCTTTCTCTGCCTGGCTCATATCACATCACATTATGTTCACCAGTACCATCTAAGTTGCTTCAAATGACAGAATTTTTCTTTTTATGGCTGAATAATATTCCATTGTATATATATCCCCCAAATTTTCCTCATCCATTCATCCCTCAATGAACATTTACAATGCTTCCATATATGGTACTATAAATACTGCTATAATAAACAGAACATGTAGATATCTCTGATATACTGATTTCCTCTCTTTTGGATACATACCCACCAGGGGGCATGCTGGATCATGCAGCAGACCTATTTGTAGGTTTTTAAGGAATCTCCATACTCTTTCCACTGTGGCTGTACTAATTTATATTTCCAGAAATAGTGTGCTAGAGTTCCCCTTTCTCTTCATCTTTGCCAATATTTGGTATGTTTTCCTTTTCTAATACAGTACGGAGAGGTGATATCTCATTGTGATTTTAATTTGCATTTTCCTAATGATAAGTGATGCTGTGCTTTTTTTCCTGTTTCTTGGCTATTATATATTCTTTTGTGATGTCTATTCAGATAGCTTGTCATTTTTTAATCAGATTCTTTTTGCTACTGATTGATTTTCTTATATATTTTAATTATTTATCATCTTGTCAGATAGTTTACAAATATTTTTCCCACTCTGTAGGTTGTCTCTTCATGCTGTTGATTATTTCCTTTGTTGTGCAGAAGCATTTCAGCTTGATATAATTTCATCTATCTATTTTTACCTTTGTTGTCTACACATTTGATGTCTGACCCCCCAAAAAATCTTTGCCTAGATGGAGGTCCTGAAGCATTTTCCTAATGTCTTCTTTTAGTTTCATATTTTGAGGTCTTACATTTAAGTCTTTAATCCATTTTAATTTTTTGTTGCAAATGGTGAGATATAAGGTTTTAGTTTTATTCTTCTGGACATGGATATGCAGTTTTGTCAGTATTATTCATCAAGAGACAACCCTTTCCCCAATGTATTTCCTTAGTACCTTTGTCAAAAATGAGTAGGCTATAAAAGTGCCAATTTATTTCTACATTCTCTATTCTGTTCCATTGATGTGTATGTCTGTTTTTATTCTGGTACCATACTCTTTTATTTACCATAGCTTTGTAGTATATTTTGAAGGCTGCTACTATGATATCTATAACTATGTTCTTTTTTGCTCAGAATTGCTTTAGCTATTTGTGGTCTTTTGTGACTCCAAATAAATTTTTGGACTTATTTTTCTATTCCTGTAAAAAATGTCATCAGCATTTTGATAAAGATTATATAGTACATAATTTGGGGTAGAATGGATATATTAACAATACTAATTATTCTAATACTGTGAATGAAATATCTTTCCAATTTTTTGTGTCTTCTTCAATTTCTTTCATTAGTATTGTGTAATGAGAAGTCTTTATTTCTTTGGTTAAATGTATTTCTAGGAATTTTATTTTTCTTGCAGTTAATGTAAATGGGATTAATTTCTTGATTTATTTTTGTATTGTTGCTGCTGATATTTAAAAATGCTACCAATTTACATATGTTGATTTTGTATCCTGCAATTTACTGAATTTGTTTAAAACTTATAACAGTTTTTTGATGGAGTCTCTAGGCTTTTCTAAATATAAGATTATTTTGTTGACATATTAGGATAATTTGACTTCTCCCTTTCCCATGTCAATGCCCTACATTTTTTCTCTTCCTCAGTTACACTGCCTAGGACTTCTATTCCTATCCTGAATAAAAGTGGTGATAGTGGCCAGGAGCAACAGTTCACACCTACAATCCTAGCATTCCGGAAGGCTGAGGCAGGTAGGTTGCTTGAGCTCCAGAGTTGGAGACTACCCTGAACAAGAATGAGGTAGTCTCTACTAAATAAATAAATAAAATAGAAAAAACTAGCTAGATGTAGGGGCAGCACCTATAATCCCAGCTACTTGGGAGGCTAAGGCAGGAGGTTCACTTGAACCCAGGACTTTGAGGTTGCTGTGAGCTATGAGGCCACTGCACTCTATCCAGGACAACAGAGTGAAACTCTATCTCAAAAAAAAAAAAAAAAAGAAAAAATGATGGTGAACATCCTTGTCTTGCTGTATTTCTTAAAGGAAAGGCTTTCAACTTTTGCCTGGTAGTTCTGATGTTAACTGTGGGTTTATCAAATATGGTATTTATTATTTTTAGGTATTTTACATATATTCTCACTATTTTGAGAGGTTTTTTTAATTATAACAAAATAAGTAATTTTTTTTCTCTTTTTTTTTTTTGAGACAGAGTCTCACCTTGTCATCCTAGGTAGTGCCGTGGCGTCACAGCTCACAGCAACCTCCAGCTCTTGGGCTTAGGTGATTCTCATGCCTCAGCCTCCTAAGAAGCTGAGACTGCAGGCATCTGCCACAGTGCCAGCTATTTTTTTGTTGAAGTTTGGCTGGGACTGAGTTGAAACCCTCCACCCTTGGTATATGGTGCTGGCACCCTACTCACTGAGCCACTTTTTTTCCTTTTTAAAAAATTTCAGAATATTATGGGGTATACATATTTTTGTTACAAACTTTGCTTTTGTACATTTTAAGTCAAAGTTGTAAGTGTGCCCTTCCCCCAGAATGTGTACATTGTACCAGGCAGGTGTGAATTTATCCAATCCTTCCTCCTCCTTCCCACCTACTTAATCGGTTGAAATGTACCTACCTTCATGCCCATTAACTGTTTTGGTTTTTTTTTTTTTGGTTGGGGCCAGGTTTGAACCTGCCACCTCCCATATATGGGGCTGGAACCCTACTCCTGTGAGCCACAGGCACCGCCCAATTAACTGTTGATCTACTAGTTCCAATTTAGTGTTGAGTACATGTGGTGTTTGTTTTTCTGTTCCTAAACAGTGCACTTAAATGAATGGTCTCTAGTTCCATCCATTTTGTTCAAAAGATACCAGAATCACCTTTTTTATGGTTGAGTAGTACTCCATGGTACACATATACCTCATTTTATTAATCCATTCATGTACCAATGGACACTTGGGTTGTTTCCACATATTTACAATTGCGAATTGTGCTGCTATAATCATTTGCATGCAAATTACCTTATTATAATTTTTTTTTCCTACAGGTGGGATTGCTGGGTCCAATAGTAAAGGTACCTTAGTTCTTTATGGAGGTATCTCCATACTACTTTCCATAGTGGTTGTATTAGATTGCAGTTCTACCAGCAGTAAATAAGTATTCCTTTCTCTCCTCATCCACGCCAGCATCTCTTGTTTTGGGACTTTTGGTAAGAACCATTCTCATTAGAGTTAGGTGATTTGCATTTCCCTGTCAAACAGTTTTTCAAGTGTTTGTTGGCCATTTAACTATTTTCATTTGAAAAGTTTCTGTTCATGTCTTTTGCCCACTTTTTATTTGGGTTGTTTGATTTCCTTGAGTTCTTTGTACATTCTCATTATTAGCCCTTTATAGGATGTATAGCATGCAAATATTTTTCTCCCATTCTGTAGCTTGTCTATTTGCTATACTGATTGCATTGTTGGCTGTGCAGAAACTTTTAAATTTAATTATGTCTCATTTATTTGTATTTGTTGTTCCTGTGATTGACTTTGGGGTCTTCTTCATAAATTCTTCTCAGGCCAATATCTACAAGAGTCTTTCCAACATATTCTTCTAGAATCCTTATAGCTTCATAACTTAAGCTTAAGACTTTTAACCATCACAAATTAATTTTTTTAAGAGGTGAGAGGTGCAAGTCTTGTTTCAGTCTGTTTTACGTGTGGCTATCCAGTTCTCCAAGCATCATTTATTGAATAGGGCTTCATTTCTCCAGTGTAAGTTTTTGCCTGCTCTGTCAAATATTAGATGAGAATATGAGGATAGTTTTATCACTGGGTTCTCTATTTGATCGATATGTCTATGTCTCTGCTTTCATGCTAATATCATGCTGTTTGGTTACCATAGCCTAATAGTATTGCTTGAAGTGTGGGTCTAGCAATGTTATATTCATCTTATTTTGTGAAAGTCCATTGTGTACCTTTACCTTTTACACCATTGTGGAATCTAAGTTTTGACCTTTAGCTTCTGGGTATTTAGGTTGCTGGTGATTCACTGTAATGGTCAGTACTGAGAATAGGATTAAGTATTTCCTGTAGAGCTGGTCTCATTTTGGCGAATTTCCCCAGTGCTTGTATATCCACAAAAGATTTGATTTCTCCATCCATTCTGAAGCTTAGTTTAGCAGGATACAGAATTCTGGGCTAAAAATTGCTTTGTCCTTTTACTGGGCATCTACCCAGAAGAAAAACATCATTTTATCATAAGGACATATGCACTAGATTATTTATCTCAGCTCAGTTTATAATCACCGAGGTGTGGAAACAACCTAAGTGCCAAAAAAACTCATGAATGAACTAATAAACCATGGTATATGTATACCCGGGAATACTATTCAGCTTTAAAAGATATATATACCATATATATATATATATATTTATAAATATGTATATATATACCATAAATATATATATATTTATAAATGAATAATCTTAATTCATAAGAGCAATTAGTCCTCTTTATAAAAAAGGATTTTAAATCATTTCTTTTTTTGAAAGATATTTGCTTTAGTGACTTATAGTATATCCACAGAGGCTTAATTATATTTTCAAAAATCATCCCTCTTAAAATATAATGAACAACATAATAACTTGGCTCTAAGTGCTCACCTTCTTCTTCAATTGGTAAAATATTGGTGTTTCTCCTCAAAGATAAAGTATCTTCCTCTTTTTCATAATTTTCTTAAAGATAAAAATATTTTATTAGTTGTATCTTAAATATATTCAATCATTTTATTTTTTCTAAACCCATGTGTTTTTTTTGAAGCCCCAGTTAAGAGTATGTTTCTTGGAGCTAAACCTCTCAATAATGATATATACTAAAAGAAAGCTCTGCTAATGGACTGAGAAGGAACACATTTCTCATGCATTTGCTTCCCCATCTTCTGGTACTATAATAAATAATATACAGGATAAACACCAAAATGGCCAACCATTTTAAAAATGAAATAGCATTTTCCAGCCAACCACTTGACTTCTACCAATAAATCTTTCCATTGATAAGCTACATGGGGATTTTATTAATTTATAAAGATGTTCACATAAAAACTGCTTATGAGTATTATTTCTATATGTACAGTTTAGAAATTAAATTCCTACAAGATAGGTATACAGAATTATCAGTGGGTCACATAAATAATCCAGGTAGAAAACTGTCCCTCTAAAAATTGTTTGCAATGGCATACAGAAGTAAAGAACCTGGAAATGACCCTGCACTGTTTCTAGTCGAGAACTGGTGACAGTGATGAAAAGGACAGATGTCTGCTTGATTCAGAAGCCCATTCCATAGTTTATGGACACATTTCTGGTTCCAGTTGATTCTATTTTTATTAAGCTTTCTCTTATTACTTGGTTGATAATAAACAGTTGAGGGTAAAAATAATCATTCTTTAAATAAATTATTTCACAATTAGAAAAAATTCTAAAAAATGTAAATGTCTAATTGAAAACCAGATTGATATGGCATTACCTTTGCCTGTTATGGCATTAGCAAGAAGTAAATCTGAGTCTTTCGCGATGTCCTCCTTAGACGTGGGCTCAGCCTCCTTCTTCGCTCCTCTCCTCATTAGTGTCAGGCGCACTGTTTGCCCTGTGTGTCGCAAAACTTCTACTGCCTGTTGATTAGTAAAGCCCTGAAGGTTTGTGCCGTCTACCTGTGATAAAAAGCGGATGTTAAATAAGGAGGTACTTGCATTACTAATGCACAGAATGCGTATTTACTACTTGTTAGTGTGAAAAAGAATGAAGAATGAGTATTCCCCTAATTGGGGAATGGGTAATAATACCCGAACACCTGTTTGGGGGCCAATTAAGGTAAAGGCACAGGAATAACCTTGGAGGGTTCTGTTAGTCTGTTTTATATGGATTCTGGGGTACCACTTCTAGAAATTATGAGCCAATAATTCTAAGATAAGGGCCAGGCTTCTGTGCCTTTTAAAACATTCTTTTGTATTCTTCACGTGAACCTGAAGCACAGTCAGGATCCAGTTTGGAAACCAGAATTATGTAGGATTAAAAGATACAGGAAAAAGTGATGGAAGAACTCCAATAAATATACCAAATGCTACTGAGAATATTAATGTGTTCCAAAATCATATTATGCCGCCTTTAAAAAGAGAAAAAAAATAAGAACAATATTGTCTTCTTTTTCATTTCCTTCTCTCAAAAAAATATATGTGATTTTCCTCATTTCCATTTCACAAATAACAAAACATTTGAAAATGCCCCAATGATCGTTCCAAAACATAGAAGTGATCATACCACCCTAACCCTGCCTTCCACAGAACACTCCTTAGGACAATACTCCCAGTCCTCGACATGGCTTAGAATGGCCTGCGCCAAGTGCCTCCACTTCCAGTCCTCACCACCACCCAGCATCACCAGCCTCAACATGATGCTGCCCACTACTCTCTGCCCCGCAACCACAGAGGGCTCACTTCCGTTCTCCTACCCTATGGCATTCCCTTCATCCCTGGGGTCTCTGCAAGTCCTATTCACTTAACCTACACTCTGGACAGCTCCCAGAGGTATTCAATCCCCAGCCTATGAGCTGCCTGCAGATTATGTAAGGAGTTTTTGATTATCTGTAGTGACAAATATTGTGAAAATTATGTACAGACTTTTTATTTGCTTATCAAATTTCATGAGTATTGATGTATTTAATATGGAGCCCAAGATAATTCTTCCCATGTGGCTCAAAGAAACCCAAAGGTTGGACACCCTTGCTAGCCCATACTTTTTCTTGTTAGTTCACTTAGAAAACACCTATAATTGCTTTAAATTAGTTCAGTAGTCATTACACAAACTGCCTTGATGTCCCAGACTGTGGCCAAAGCCCTCTTTCACCCATTTTCCCTCATAATACTTTCATAATTTTAATTTTACATTTTCAGTCATTATACAGTTGATGACTGTATACTCCAAGGTCAGGCTCTGTCATTTTCACTCACAGCTGTGTCACCAAAACATAGCATTGTCTGCACTTTAGACATTAGATATTCATCCCAAATAAAAGTATAGCGCCATTGGCTCTTATGTCAAAGATTTATTTATGTAGAAAATTACATTCTTGGATCAATAAACACAGACTTTGATGCCATATCTTTAAAAATTCATAAAATCACAGTAAGAAGGTTGGAAAAGTAGAACTGTGGAATGGCTATAAAATGGCTAAGTGTCACAGTTTTCTAAGCAAAGTGCTAGCCACAGTAGGCACTCAAATATTTACTAAATAAATAAGAATTATAAAGTCTAGATTAGTGGTTCCAAGATGGAGAACTCTTCATGAAGAGGTTTCTGGAAGAATATAATCATATTTCTAATTAAACATTTTAAAAACTCATTTCCTTTATAGATAGGAGATATAGATATGTAGGAGTATGTGTTATATATGCATACATATATAACATCTATGATAATTACATAGAATATATATAACATTTATATGAATATAGAGCAAATGGAAGGAAAGGAAGAAATGAGTAGTTTTTTTATTAATGGGGATATTCAATCAAACATCTAAGGCTGGGTGTGGTGGCTCACACCTGTAATCCTAGCACTCTGGGAAGCCGAGGTTTTTGGATTGATGAGCTCACGGGTTCAAGACCAGCCTGAGCTAGGTGAGACCCCCTTCTCTAAAAATAGCTGGGCATTGTGGCCAGTGCCTGTAGTCCCAGCTACTTGGGAGGCTGAGGCAAGAGAATTGAGTCCAAGAGTTCGAGGTTGCTGTGAGCTATGGCACCACAGCATTCTATTGAGCGAGGCAAAGTGAGACTCTGCCTCAAAAAATAAAAAACTAGAGTCTCTGATTTAGAGGATAATCTCATACTTTTGTGGGTTGCTTAAATTTTGTGTGATTCTGATCTGGACAGTAACCTGAATGCAGTGTCTCATTCTTTCTTCTTTCCCACTAACTCCACCCCACTTATTTCCTTTGGAAAGAATAACAAATATAACAGAGAAAATCCTGCAGCAGACTTGGAAACCAAAGAAGGGGTAAGGGTTCCTACGCCACTAACTTGGAGGAATTTCTATTAGAAATGGCCCGGACATGACCAGATTGAAGGTGGGCCAGATAAATTTCTATGTGTATGGGAATAGCTTATCTCATCTACAAGAATAAACCTGTAAAAATCAAACACCACCCTTTCATTAAAGGAGAGCATGCCATGGTACAGGTGGATTCTAATCAGTGACTCCAATAAATACACCAAGCTGGGCACATGCAGCAGTACAGAATTACTTGTTTGTAATGATTTCACCTCAACATGCACACACACACACACACACACGCGCGCGCGTGCACACACACAGATCTCTAACCCCAACTATTACAATAAACCCAAAAAACAAGTTTTTTGATACACAAAGGCCAAGCTCCCCATTTTGATGCTCTAGCACTGGCTTTCTTTCTGTTTTGTTCATCTCCAAATCAATCAAGTGAAACTATAATAAATGTAAACTTTCACTTTCTTTCTTGCTTTGTTAATTCCTGAATCATCTTGACAAACCTATACAAATCTCCAGTAGAATACATTTCAATTCCTATTTGTATAAGCACAGCTCTTTCTGAGAACTACCAAAGGTAACAGAATATGGAATAGAACACCACAGTCTAAAAACAGGCAAGCACACTGAGGCCTCAGTCCAAGCATCTTCCTACAAAACTGTTACTGCAATTAACAGGGAAAAAGATATTCTTTGAAACTTAAATTCAAAATAATTTAAGTTTTATTGTATTTATGAAAGTAGGGATTATAGTTACAAAGAAAAAACAAATATTTTCAAAGGAAAAAGAATAAACCTGTCATAGTGAAAACAGTTAATAAAATGTTAACTACTGCAAAAATAAAATAAGTAACTAGAAGACAGGATCATGAAAGATCCCATATCTCAGAGAAAAAGAACAAACAGATAAAAATGATCAGAGAAATTACATCATTTCTAATTAGATCAGAGACACATAGGCTGAAAGGAATTACAAGAAGATAATAAATGAGGAAAAAATAATCAATGAAATGATTAGAGTGAGAGAAACATAGTCAAGTCTACAAATCAACAAGGCACATAAAAAAAAAAACCAGACAAATTAAATAAAAACCTACTATCTATATGTATCCTCATAAATTTCTTGCATTTCCAAAATCAGGAAAAAAAAATCTATTAGTCTTTAGGCAGCCAAGACCGATGATGAGATCATCTACAGAATTTGTGGTAAAGAAATTACTAGCCAAGAATTATATACTCAGTGTAATGTCTGTGAAAATAAAGACTGCAGTTAAAATGCTATGATTACTGATATCCTATACAAGGTGAGCTGCAAAAGAGGCCACCATGCATCACTTTAGGTGGTAAAGAATTACAATTCGCACTTACTTTAGGGCATAAAATGGGTGGGTTGTTAAAAGTTGGGAGAAACTTAAAAGAAAAGATTTCTTTTTTTCAATTTTTAAATGTACTGTAAGTCTCCCCCCGACCCACTCAGGTATTTCCCTTTTGACCTCAAGTCAGAAGAGTCTTTTCAGCTGCAGAGGAGAGGAGGTAGTGGATCATATCTAATTCATCAGGAGGATAAGCAAGAAGCCTTTTGGCAGCTTTGAGAGTGAAGTAAGAGAAATTTGCTGTTACGTTGGGACCTTCTTAGCTCCCTAACTTTGAGCACAGATCAGAGGAGGACCATACACCTAAGAAATCCAAGTTGAGGTCATTTTGAAACTTCAGTACCTCTAGGATCCAAAAGAGAGAATCTATGGAATCAAACTCTAAGAAACTAGGGGCTTGGGAAGGAAGAGTCAGCTAGAAGAAAAATCCATCTGTCATTCATGAAAAGTTAAATCTAATGATCTCTAGTGAGGTGTCTCAAGAATCTAAAAAGGAACCATAAGAGACAGTTTTATACACTTGCCACACTCATGGAGCACAAAGCCATCCTACAGCAGTTCCAGTTAAAGACAATATGTTCCTTCTTCCTTCTTTCTCTTTGTTCTCACAACTTTTACACCATAGAAACCCGCAATAAAGTGAGGGAGTAAAAGGAAAGTTATGTGGAGACAGACTGGGGGGGTACACACCATATCCCTATGGCAGTCATCAGTTTATGGGCAGTCATCAATTTGTGGCCCTGATAGGCAGGAGGGAAGTTTGAAATTAGATTACTATTTAGTATGGAAAATGTTTAATTACTGAATTGGAACTGTGGGTGGTGATTTTGATTGGTCATCGTGCAGTCAGGCTATTTTGGACTGGTCTGGGTCAGGTTGAGCTGAGCTAGTATGAGAATAACACTGATTAAGACCCTGCAGGTGGGTTGTTACTAAGACCATGCTGAAGGGTTTTTTTCAAGATCTTGCAGGTGGGCTGTTTTGAGAACAGAGGTAATTAAGACCCTGGGAGACTTCCAAGAAGCAACTAATAACCCCTCGTAGTTGTGCATAAAACCCTGAAGTTGCACTTTTCATGGTGCCTGCAGTCACTAGGATGGAGCCCAGCTTGCTGTACAGGTTGTTAATAAATTCTTTCTTTTTCTCACTGAAACTTTACTTGCTCTTTTCAATTGTTTTGGCAACTACCTCAAGCCACCTACCACTCCAACAACTGGATATTTTATTCTCTAAGAATAGCCCAAGTCATGAGACTTGCCTAAGATTTCCTTCTG